GACGAAGAAAGGAAAAGGAAGAAAGAGGGGAAAAGGTCAGAAAAAGATCAAAGAAAACAAAACCTGGGATTCCTCAAAAGATGAGACGAGCTCAGGAGAAGAAGATGGAAAGATTTTGACAAGAAATGAAAGCAAAACTTGGGATTCCTCAAAAGAAGAGACGAGCCCAGCAGAAGAAGAAACAAAGGAAATGAAAGAAAAGGAAAAGGATTCAGTTGAAAAGAACATATGGGATTCCTCAAAAGAAGAGACGAGCCCAACAGAAAAAAAAACAAAGGAAAATGAAGAGGACACAATGGAGACAGTGGTGTTTGAAAAAGACACGGAGTACACGGTGAATATGTGCGAAGAATTTGATGGGAGAGACAAAAAATTGATATGTGGAGAAGGCAAAGAAAATGATTTGCGTAAAATTTTAAGAGACTATGAAACGCTGATAAATAAGGAAAACCGAGTGGCCACAAATACGTAGCATAAGTACAGATAGCATACAGGAAGTGCGTTTTAGTTTGCCTCGAGAAAATTTAGTTGCATAGATTGATAAATTTTATCGATTGCAAAGGCGGGGATTTGTTGTACTTTTGAATGTCCATAAGCAATAAAAAACCGATCTACAAATTTTATTACTTAAATAAAAATTAAAATTATTGATATTTCATAAAGACACGGGCATATAAATTTTCAAACATCCTGTATAAGACAAAATATGTATTTTAAGTTGTTCGAAGAATTGTTCATTAGGCCTCAGAGACAAGACTTTCAAATATTATCGATAAGAAATTTAAATAAGTCGGTTATTGTGGAATGGATTTACCCGTAATAAAAGTGTATATAGAAAGTGTTTAAACAATAGAAAGGGATGTGCGGTGGTTTTTCCCCCCGAAAGATTATATCGGTAAAAGTTTATTAACAAAAGACATTGAATTGAGAAACAGGTATCGTTTGTAGCTATTAGTAAGAAATATTTGTAAAGCAGATAGATTTAGCTAGAATAATTAAAGAATGTTGTTTTCTGGAATTACCCGAATGACGTTTTATAGAGAGAGTTGGTTGGTAACGATATACGTGACAGAGGTAGAAGATTTTTATTGGTCAATTTTTGAATGCAAGGAGGGAGTGGTTTTAGCTATGAGATAGGAGAGAGGAAGGGAGTTAGTCAGTTTTCGTCGCCCAAGAAGGAAGGAGCTTTGTGGTTTGTGTTTGTTTGAAGTCCCGAAGACGTAATTTACCGGGTGTGTTTATTTGCTGTGTAAAAGCTGATCAGTGTGAGGAACGGGGTACAGAGAGATAGAAAAAACCAAAGGGTATAAGAATATTAATATCAGACGAAGCCGGAAACATTTGAAGTTATAAACAGGCGCGGAGATTGGTTCAAAAGGAGGCTGCATAGAATTACACGAGTTGTTGGGTTGCAGATACAAGGACAGATAGGAGAAAGGTGTACGTCTTCTGGACCAAAATAGGAGCAGAAGCAGAGAAAGGTTTTTTTTTATGGCGTGGCCATAGAATTGCAACGGCAGATAACGAAAGGTCAGTCAATTTTCATTAGAGCAGGAGTGTGGTTTTCATTTATAAATTAAATAAATTGAATAAATAATAGAGACAGTTAATTTTGCGATCATTTAAAAAAAAAAAAAAATTATAAAGAGAGCTTAGTTATAACACATATTAAAAATCAATGTAAAATAACATTTGGGTCCATGATAGAAAACAACTTCTCATATATTTAAAGTATTGTATTGCAAATATTACCGGATTGATTGTTATATAAAATTTCAATAAAATAAAGGACATCTCACATATACTTCAGTTGAAATTCTGTGTATTTTATTCAGGTCATATTACCTATCCCAATTAGGAAGCCAATTGGAAAATATTTTGAATCCACGATCAAAGGTAAATAGTACAAGTTAAATAGCCTGAGATTGTAATTAATTAATGCTGATTTATTGTGATTAATTGGAGATTAGATCATTTAATAAATATAGACAGGATCTTTTCTAAATAAGCAATAGAATACAATTTAAATAGCATAACAATATATATTGACATCACACATTTAAAATACATTAACATTACAAATTAAATATGCTGATTAAGGAGAAGGATAGGCCAGGCACTCCGCCACAGTATAGGGCTCAATGTCAACTAGGTGTTGAAAAACCTTTCTTTTAAAAGTTCTATAGTGTGTTTCCTGTTTAATGTCAGATGGTAGACTGTTATAAAATTTAACACATGCATACAAAGGACTTCTCTCTGTTATAGACAATCTGTGAAGTGGCAAATTCAAGTTAAGGCTTCTTGTACTATATTCATGATTGGGAAGCAGGTGATAAAACAAAGAAAAATTTTTAAAAAGGAACATAATACATTCAAATATATAGATGGCTGAGAAAGTGAGTATATTGAGTGACTTGAATCGGCCTCTACACGATTCTCCCGCCTTTAGTCCTAAGATCACCCGGACTGCCTTTTTTTGGACTATAAAGACAGTTGAGCTATCTACTGCAGCAAGAAATGAAGGGCACCTTTATATTTACCGAAAAGGAACAGTGCATTGAGCAAAGTGTATGGAAGAGTTTAACCATAACTGTAGATACAATTGTAATACAAATATCCCTAATGACAAATGCCAATCTATTTTTGGCAGATATTGGGGACTTGAAAGCTGGGACCTTCAAACTTCTTTTTTATGTTCTTGCATTAGCCTTCAAGATCCTGCAAGAAAAAAACCTAATGTGGGCTATGTAAAAAGAACAAGCTGTACTTACACATTAGAAGAGTACAGAGTATGTAAGGCTTTTCATGAAAACCCTTGATATCAGTAATAAACGAATTACTAATGTTATAATGAAAAACATTACCAACACAAACTCAGTTTCTCACAAGGACCAAAGAGGTTTTTAAGTGCCAACAAATAAAACAACAGATGAAACCATTTAGTTAATCAAAGAACACTTAAAGTTACTTTCTAAATACAGTAGCCATTACTCTAGGATTAGATCTCCAAATGTGAAGTATTTGAGTGTGGAACTGACAATGAAAAAATCTACACTTTGTATGTAGAACTGTGTATGGAAAGAAAACTTAAACCCTGTGAAGGAGAGTTACTATAGGTATATTTTCCGTACTAATTTTAACCTTTCACTCAAGAGACCTCACACCGATACATGTGACAATTCTTTATAATGATGTTGATTCAGAAAGAGTTACAACAGCAAAAATTGAAAAAGAATAACACTTGCGCAAGGCACAAGCTGCAAAAAATGCAAAGGATGATGATGCATCGAATTTCAAAGATGACCCAACTACAGTAGTTGTATGCTTCAATTTTCAAAAGACGCTTCCAACATTTAACCTGCAAAAAAGCATACTATAGCCATAACTTTGGACTTATAATTTTTGTGCACAATGTTCGCACTGGACAGACACAGATGTTTTTGTGGTATGAAGGTCAAGGTAATCATGGTTGCAACGAAATTGCTTTCTGCCTTTGGAAATACATCCAGATGCTGCCACCAACTGTTAAGCGCATAATTATGTACAGTGACAACTGTGGTGGCCAAAACAAAAGTCATTATATTGTAAAGTTCTGGCATTATGTAGTCCAAAAGACACAAATTGATACTGTTGACCACAGGTTTCTGGTAGTGGAACATTCATTAATGGAATGTGACCAAGATTTCGGGATTATCTAAAAAGCAAAAAACAGAAACCATCAGCAGGTTTATGTACCAAGTATGTGGGCCAACATTATAGTGAAATCTAGTAGGAAGTTCATGGTGACACAAATGGAGGATGATGACTTTGTGTCTTTAGATTCACTAGAACCTTACTTTAGGAAAAATGTACCAGGTATCAGTAAAACGCAGTGTATGAATTTTGAGAAAGCATATCCATACACACTGTTCACAGAAAGCTTCAACCTTCCTCCCTTAGAGGAGGAAAACAGATTAGAGGAGAGAGGAGGAAAAATTACTGAGAGAGTCAGAAACTGATTAGTTATGCTTCAGGAATGGTAGTATTAAACTGATTTAAACAATTTTGTAACTATAATTGAGCCACTGAAAAGATGGAATGATCACGTGAATGGCATGCATTCTTAAATATTCCTCTCCCTATGTTATCACTTTTCCCACATTTACACCGCTCAACAAAAACGAACTAATACTTTCACTATAATACATTTACCTATACGGATTTTTACAGGTTATTGATTTACATTAAATTTAAACATTTTATTGGCTTTTGCGTGTATAAATATGTCAAAAGTAAACTTTAAATAAAATTAAGAGATAAATTCATTTTATAAATTTGATGGAATGCGATTCATTTGAATAGAATATCTTTATTCACAAGAATACAACAAATACAAATTAATATACATACGTGTGAACTCTACAAATAATTTTTAACACTGCCAACAAAATTCACCAGCGAAAGTGAAACACAAATTAATAATGGCCATAGATAAATAATATAATGACGGTGTAAACAGTTTCCCAGAAGATCTAGTTTTGACCGACTGTTGATGCTTGCATTCAGCGATCATGCAACCTTGGATTTCATGTTTTAAGCGGCCAGAATATAATTCTGTTATTAATTTTGTGTTAAATTACATTATTTTTACCACAGTTGTATCTTTTACTCAATCCAAATTTTCATATATAATACAAACTCAAAGGGTTCAGTCAATATCTGGTTCTTTTTTTGGAAGCCAACGGGTACAAGTGATCACTCGTATCAGGATTGAATGATTGTAAAATCAAAAAGACAAGATCTAAAACTTATTCTAGAGCTTATTTAACACTCTTAAGATATTTTAAAAAGTGTTTCATGTGTATAAAACAATTACTTATAATTTTAAAAGAGAGTTAATTAGAAAGAGAGTTATTAGTTTATATAATTTAACCAGACAACCTTCATTCAGTAATATATTACAAAATATGTAAATTCTTAAATTTAATACACTAAACATAGACATGTGTTGAATTACTTACCTAACATCCCACAAATTTGATTCATATTGTCTAGTTCATTTTTTCTGTCTAGAAGTTGACCCACGGTACCTTTAACTGCTTTGGGAATTTGATCAACATATTGAGGCTTTATTAGAGCCTTCAAATCATCCTCTAGAATCTTGGTGAAATAATTTTGTAATTCACTACCTCTGAAATGGCTTAAAATTTCTGTCCAATCAGGGGGATCCTAAAAATTAGAACACATTAACAAAAGTCAATTAATTTTACCATATAACTATAACTTTACCATATATCTTCCTAAATTGGGCTTTTGTTTTCCAGCAAGAATCTTCAGAGCAGTAGATTTGCCAATACCATTAGTGCCTACAAGCCCAAGTACCTCACCAGGACGAGGTATAGGTAACCTATGAAGCTTGAAAGAATTCTTACCATATCTATGAGTAGTTTCTTTTTGCAAATTACTTGGTAAATTTATAATAGCAATGGCTTCAAATGGACATTTCTAAAATCAACATAATCAAAACAACAAACTATTTAGCTACTAACAGAAAGTACCTTAACACATATACCACAACCAATGCACAATTCTTCAGATATAGTAGCGATTTTACTGTTTGGGACAACTTCAATGCAAAGTTTTCCAAGCCGAACTACCGGGCAGGATTTCTTGCATTCCTGCCGACATCTTTTCGGTTTGCATTTATCTGCATTGACAATGGCTATACGAGTGAGTTTGTCAGACTCCTCCATTCCTTTTCGCTTGGACATTTTGCTAAAATCTAAAGCAATATGTTATTAACAATTCTAACCTATAAACGATAAATTAATATGAACTTTAAACGTTTAAAGACTTAAAAATTGTTCAATTCTGTTTCAAAATAATGTATGTTGCAATAAAAATAATACCTGTCCTCTAATTTTCCTTAAAACAGAAACGAAGACGACAAACGTCACCTCTTAATAATTTGCCATGAGGAAAGGAACAAACTTGAAATTAGCCATAAAAGGGGTACGTCAGTGTCAAAATCAAAATGAAGTTATATGCGATATATTTGAACTACGCTTATTCAAACTATTATTACAGTATTAATAAAGGAAAATTTATAATTTTGATCATCTATAGGACATCATTAATAATTGTAGCTTATTTATTTAATTTTGTAGTAATATGTGACAGGATATTGATGAAATAAATTAGGGAAATAAGTAAAAAATCTTCTTTTTGTTCTCACGTGAAACTTTGACTTATGTCAACTGTCTTTTATGCGAGATTTACTTGGAAAAAATCAGAAAATCCATTTTTGGTTAAGATTTAAAATTTTGAAAATAATCTGACAAAATGGCTAAAGTTGACATGGAATTAAAAAAGGTACATTATTTTTTTATCCGTTAACAAATTTCTAATGTTAATCTTCTAGGCTTTTACGGAATTGCAAGAAAAACAAATAGAAACTACACAGAAGTTAAGAATAGCAGACATCCAAATAGACAATTTGAGAAGAAATAAGCAGCATGCTTCAATTACAGAAAGGTATCACATCGGCAATTATTAAGCCTGCTTTGTTTAATATGTATGTATTTTCTTACAGAGAAATAGGCACATTGGATTCAGGCACCAAGACATATGAATCAGTGGGTAGAATGTTTTTGTTAACGCCTATCGATAAGGTGATGGTGAATTTGAAAACAAAACAGACCACAGCAGAGGAGAAAATAAAGGTGATAGAGAGCAACAAAACGTACCTAGAGAACTCCCTTAAAGAAGCCACAAATAGCTTACGTGAACTGGTTCAGACAAAAAAGGAATCATGAATGGTTTGCTAGTTAGATATGATATTTATTAATACATTTGTATGTCACACATTTTTCAGATCTTAATAAAAAACTTTAATTCATTTGACTTATGTATTACATCCCAAAATATCTATTATACTGGAACATAGGCTTGGAAGGTATGCGTTTTTTGAATACACATCTATATGTATTAGACTAATCAACTTTACAATGGTAAAACAACTAGATGCTTCTATTCTTGGAATTTAACTGAATATTCAGTCAAAATACTTTCAAATGGGAATTAACCTTAGTATTTTCTTCAGTTATGTTACAAAGCAATTCATCAGTTGTTGTGTCCTTTACACATATTAGACTTGCTTTTACATATTTGTTGCTTTTGCATATTGAAATCTACAAAATTGTTTTTAATTTCATTTATTGTGTAAAATTTAGTGGTCTTTAGGCATTTGTATAAATTTTGTCAAGATGGCTTTTATAGGTACATGTTTAGATTGTTAAGTTAGGTCATTATTATATTTCAGAATCTTCTGTACTTTTCTGTTGGTCTTTTCTCCATTTTTTATACATGAAATGTGCTACATTAGATTTTGGTGTGCATTAAGAAGTCTTTGGATAGTCTAAAACATTGTTCAAAAGTTCTTTTGGTGTGTAGTAACCCAATCACCTTTGAAATAAAACAACAAACTGCAATTTTTATCTTAATAATTTTATTTTAACAGTATAAAAATCAATTGAAAGCATAATATTTTAATCAAATCAACTTAAGCAGTAATTTCTCTGATGGTTTCTTCAAACAATAAAGGACCTGATTCTGGAGTATGCTCGACACTGATAGGCTTGTGAAGCAATTTGAAGATTCCGGTTCCAATAGGTGCTGGCATTCCCATGATGATATTCTCAGAAACTCCATTGATTTTGTCAGTCTGTCCATAATAGGCGGCATCAAATAAGTGGTCAGCGGTTTTTTCAAACTACAAAAAAATATTACGCCTACAGTTATACAGGATAAAATGGTTTACTGTTTTAAAAATGTGTTTATTGGAGAAGGATAGTTAGGAGGAACTAAGTGTGGTGTTATAGCTGAAAATTCATAGAATAAAGATTCCTGAGAAGAACTATTTTATATTAACTCTTAAATAATAATCTGTATAAAAGAATATGAATATGTGGTGCAGATAAAAGAAATATGGAAGTGATAGCTTCGTGAAAAAGTTATGGATCTGTTAAAAAAGTGTTGAAAGCATGTAAAAATATAGTAACTTTGATAAAAACATTACAGTGTCGAAAAGAGATAAAAGCATTTAAAAAGCATTCTTAAGATCAAAATTAAAATGATGAATGCTTAAATGTTAGATTTTTTCAATATTATCTTTCAAATGGCTTGAGATGCGGATGTGTCGAAATATCTTAAATATTACAAGAACTGATAAAATAACTAACCAAAAAGGATTTGAAACAATTAACTTACAAAAAGAAGTAGCTCTAATATAACAGTGAGTAAAATAACTCATCTGAAACACTTTATACATGGACATAATCAATAATTGTTACAATGAATTATGTAAGGAAAGAACCTGAGCAAAATAAGTCTGAGTTGAGAAAATTCAAGGAATTGTTCATTTGGAGTCATTATTCAACCATTATAAACAGCTGACTAAAGCATTCACGTGGTAAACACGCATGTCAGCAGTTTTAAGAATCCATATGATAATCATCCTTCAGAATGAAGAGTACACAATAGGGTATAATAGTGTAGCAAGCTCTCTGACTATTGGAATCTTGAATTTTAAGTCTTGAAAAAGCATTATAACATTGATGAGAAGTAATAACATCGTTGTGTAAAGTGTAATACTTCCCTTAATACTTTTTGTGATGTTCTGTGACATTGAGTGAATTAGAATGACAGATGATTAGAAATAGAGGTTAAGACGAATATGTTATGGTGGCGAAGCACATGGTTGTGTGCTATGTCTAAGTAATATGTATTGATATTAAGTGTAAAATAAAGTTCAGGAACAATTTGAGAATTTTAATCTACAATCCGACATAAAGCGGAAAAAACATTGTAGAAGCTGTTAAAACCGTTGAAAAAGCATTGAAATGTAAAAAATGCATTTTAAAAGAGTTAAAAGGTATTATAGACCCGGACAAGTATTGGAAAACGTTTTAACAACAACTTTTAAACAGCTTTAAAAACCCAAAAGGCGAGGTAAGTGCAACAAAAAGCATTAAGCAAGCGTCGAAGGAGTCTCAAATCATCAAGACATAACCATCAATGTTTTTGCTGGGAACTAATTCAGAAAATTGATTATTTGGAGTTCTTATTGAACATTCTAAACAACAGCTTAGATCAGACACATATAAAAAAGAATAACCGTAGTTTTAAAAATACATAGAATTACAATTATTCAACAAAAAAAAACAATATACTGATGGATATAATTAGAAAGATAGGCGCAGCAAACTGGCAACGGTTGGCAATGGATAGGACTGCCTGGCGTAATAGACTTGGGAAGGTCGAGGCTCTTTCATAGGGCTGTAGCACCATTGATGATGATGGATATAATACTAGAGGAAGCTCCCTGACTATTGGAATTAGAACGTTTTTAGCAATTGTCACAATTATTCGAGCAGCAAACATATCTACATACTATATGAGGATATAGAGTCTCTTTTTATTATTAGAGAGTTGGTCTATAAACAGGAAGCATTTAATTTTAACATTATAATTAGTGAACTTACCGAAGCCAAATTAAGAACAGATTGTTTCATTTTGGATAAACCCTGCCGCGTTATGCCGAGGACTTCACCAGTATGGGTCATCTGGGCCGCCAATAACATGATGTGTCTGTAATCGACGCTCATTCCGTGATTCTCCATGACCATTTTAATTTCTGACATAATCGTCTCTCTAAACACAAAAAATATTAACAACCGTAGCTGAATACATCAATTTTTAAATATATATGGAAAAATGCATCTCATTCGGTTGTTAAAATGTAAAATATGTTAGTGATAGGTAATTTTCGATTGATTGTTCCCTGGATAGTGTTCTGTACTGTATAACTGTACTAATTATTATTTTTGGTAAGGTTAAGTTAGTTTATGTTAAATATTGTTACAGATCTATTATGAACAGTTAATTTTAAATAGAAATAGAATAAAATTATTTTTTATCTACTTCGTTAGGAATGAGGTGCCAATGACATCTTAACATCAAATCACATTTATTGTAGTATATTAGACATACATTTCATAAATTCGCCATAAATACCTTATTACCTTGCGGCTTCTATTCCTAATGTATGGTAAACTTCCATGATATTGTTCGAAATAGTTTTCTTTCCATCTACGCCATAAGTGGCCATTACTTCTCTTAAATTATTACCTTCTACACAAAGACTGTACCGTGGAGTACCGCCTTTGTCCTCTCGTGCTATAACTGCCCTATTAACGGTTGGCAAACCCTAGAAAAATTTCTATTAACAACATACTTAGTCCTATGTACTTATATTGAAAGTTTAGAACAGAACAATTGGAATATGATAGAAATGCATGAGTAAAAAATAAATTAATACTAAATGCATGAAATAATTTCATTATAATTTCTAATTAGAGTGTAAGGATAGCTACAGACGGCTCAGAAACCCCCTACTCTCACACTGCGACGTCATAAGGCACGCGCACTGACATCTGTTATATGTCGAGTTTTCTTTTGAAAGCATCCAGTGGAGTCAATATAATTCGGTGCCTGTGCTGAACATGGTGGGGAGCACATCCTGCTACTTTACTCATTTTATATAAGGCCTATAATAGACCACACCTTGATTATGGATCGATTTTTCTCGGAGGCTGTACCCGTTCCTTACTTACAAAACTGGACAAAGTTCAATATAGAGCTCTCAGAGTGGTCGGGGGATTTATGAGGTCCTCTCCGGTTCATGTTATTTTGTCGGAATGCGGAGAAATACCGTTAGATCTTAGAATGATTTGGCTAGCATTTAAATTTATATTAAAGGTGGTAGCATATGACAACCCAATATATTCTTCAATAGAGCAATTTCACAAAGTATTTCTGAATTACTTTAGTTTCAGGAAAAGAAAATACTTCCCACCAATACTGGCTGCCTTCCAGAATATGTTTCATGAGGTGGCACATAACTCCTTATTTCCTTGTCACTCCTTCCCGCTCGATTCTCAAATTTCTCCTACGGTTTATGAAACTCTCAACCTAGGGAAAGAAGGTAACCAAGCCAAGTTTGTGTCATGGTACCTTTATAACTGGTCTGAATATAAACTTATCTTCAAAACCGATGTATCAGTTGGAAAAAATCGGTTCCAACAAATAGGACAGGTAAAAGGAACTACATATTGTACAAATGTTACGGTTCCATATAAAAAGTCCTGGTTTACAAGGTTACCCGACCTGGGGAGGGGCATAATTGCACAAATGTGTCGTATGAGAAGTGGACATTGCAGCGTTCCGGTTCATTTATTTAGTTTGAAAGTGATCAATACAAATCTGTGTTCATGTGGCAGTTTAGGCATCTTACAGCACGTGTTGTTGAAATATACTAGATATCAAAGGGAGTCCCAGTTACGTAGAAGTGAATTTCAAAGTGATCCAACATTTATCGATGTGTTGTTCAAAAACTTAAACTCAAAGACTCTGCTTGCAGTGCAAAAGTTTTTAGCGTCAACAAGGTCTCAAGTGTAGTTCATTAATGTACATTATAAGATTTAATCTGCTTGCTTGGATTGCATGTGCTTAGTGCGGTTTGGTGCAGTAGTATAGACCTAGAACAATAGAACTTTAGAACTTATGTGAAAGAACTTTTGAACATTTGATTTTAATTTGTTTTTTTTTTCTCCTTTAACTATTATTGCAGGTTCAGGAGCTATGAGTATGATGTACCTTAGGTACGGCTCTTGAACATTCAGTATAAATACACAGATCTTGGCCGGATAGCCCTGGTAGCTAAGGCAAAGCAAATGAATGGAAGAAGAAGAAGAGTTGTCTTTTCTTTCATCTGTCATTTGTTTCGTGTTCCATGCGATCTGTCTGAACCGTAAACTAAATCATTTGTGAAGAAGACAAAAAATTAGTACTAGAAGGATAGAACTAAAATAGTTATCAAAAACCGGTAGCCTGTCTTTACTCTTTGCAACATGTCCGGCCCAGTTTTACTTCAGAATTGTAATTTTTTTCCATGGCATCTCTTGTTTTTGTTTTTGGTGTATTTCATCATTGGATATTCGATTTAAGAGAGTACTTCTAACATACAGCGTTCCATTGATCTTTAGGGTATATGTATTATAAAAACAACAAAATAGTTTTCTTAAAAACCAGTTGGCATATAAAAAAACACTTACCTTCACCACTACGTTTGGAATTTGTTCTTTCAATTCTCCCAGGGCGAAATTTAGCCTTCTGGAATTTTTGCTTCTATTAGGATGGACGGTTATTATCGTATCACTTTCCACGCAAACGTCAGATGGCTTTAGCTTCAATTTTGATGTACATATGCTAAAAATTAATCATTTATATTTATACAATTTGTGTTTGCAAGATAACCAATTACGGATGAAACAGAGAGAGAAAGAGAGAGATTCTGTGCTTCAAAATAAAAGCTTATTTTCATTTCAATATTTTGTATTGCTGAACGTGAATAACTTCAAGATTTGATAACGCCCTCTATTGGCCAAGAGATAAATTTATATTGTTTACCGTGTACGCAGCGCCTTCTAATGGTTAAATTTCAAACTCATGTTGGAATAACTGTTAAAAATAGAGGTGGAAACGAATAATTTGAACAGTTCCCAAAGCGTCCAAAAAATGTTATTAAGGCTGTTTTCGCAGTTATAGCATACTGCGATTTGAAGTGGGCGTATCACTTACTTTTCTACACTGCTATGTCAGACCCTACGTGACTTCCTAATAGTTTGGATGTTTATTCAGTGGCGCCGGCCCACGGGTTGTTTAAAATAAATGCATTATTCTCCATTCAAATTGGTTTTGTCGGAATACTTTTTTTTAGATTAATTATCGTAGATAATGTTTTAAAAAGAATTAATCACATTTTTAATTTATATGTCTAAACATAGTATTAAATAAAAATTTGTGAAACGTGACTGCAAAAAACACCATGGTGTTTATTTATAATAAATTTAAATTTTGTTATATTAATATTAATATATAATTAATATTTTGTTAATATTTTTTAGCGAAAACTGATATTAGCGTAGTAAAAATTAAACAAAAAATATTTTTATTTATCTATAAAAAATTGGTACCTGCGAAACCATCATAATAGTAAATGTATTTATCTGGCAAGTATTTCGAGGCGACGCACTGTAAGGAAAAAGTTCTCTGAATGGAATATACATTATTTTAATATATTTATAGGTTGCAGTTACATAAGAAAAGTATCCAATTGATGAATAAAACACAAATCGTGGATAGTTATTTCATCATATCAGTGGCATTTCAGCTCGTCATGAGCCAAAGGCTTCTTCAGAACAATCTTCCATGCGCCCCTGCCTCTGGCAACTTTCTCCATGCTTTAACTCCGATGGATTTTAGATCATCCTCTATGTTATCTTGATACCTAAGTTTTGGTCTTCCTCTGGATCGTCTTCCCACTGGTCCTCTTCGGTCGAAAATTTTTCTGATCGTTTCATCTTCATCTCGCCTAATTACATGTCCTATCCATCAAAGGCGTACTAATTTAATAAATTTTACAACGTCAGGTACTACACCTAAAGAAGCATCGTAGTTTACTTTATACGATCTTTTTGACCAAGCACCATCAGCTATAACGGTTATTAACCTATTTCCGTCGGAATCTACTTCACCAATTTCTTTGGCTAAAGCTAATTCCTCCCGTCCAGCCTCTTCTAAGGAATCACAAGTGTTTGGCCGATGATATCTGCAACTGTTTCCGTATGTTTTGCATACTGCCTGTAGGAAATCACAGGTATATTTAATGCAGCGTGCTGCTGCTGTATGTCTGAATAACCAGAACCATTCAAGTTCAGTGAATTGTTACCAGAATCCTACGTTGCTATCTCCTTTTCAATATTCCACATTTGACATTTAAAAGTCAATGTACTTATCAATCCGTCCATTTTTTCTTTGATAATCTCCATATTAGAAAAGTTGCATGAAAATGGAGAATGATTATTTTTAAGTTAAATAAAAGCTTTTAAAAACGGTTAAAAAAATATAAATAATAAATACTAAAGCAGTGCAATTGCTCTCCTTTTCCTTGACATAGGACGTTTACTGGGACTCATTTTTTATCTTGTCTCTTATAACTTATATCACTAACCTAATGTAATACTTAAAAATACGCGTAAACTAAAGAACTTTTAACTTATACCACTAAACTAATAATATATTACTTAACATACACGTAAACTAAATAATTTCAATGTTTTCAAAATAAATAAGAATACTGTAAACTGTAAAAACTAAGCAAGTTGATAAAGAAAATACTGACTGTACCCATAGAGAAATAAAAATAAGACTGTACCGTACGCTCATGTGATTTGACGTCACTAATGCGATAACGATCAAGCTTAGCGACAATGATGAGGAACACGTTTCACTATTAGATTTCAGTATTTTTTAGCAATTTTCTTCAAAGTTTGAATACGCTTTTCTCGATTATTACTGGACACAGAAAGGTGAAAAAAGAATCAACGATTACAGAAAAAAAAACTCTTTCAACTGATGGGCGTGAAAAGTTTGGTTATAATAGAACGTTAAACAGTATAATCCAATTTTTCAACAGAAAATTCAAAAAAATAAAAAAAGTAAAACCATCAGTTTAAAGGCAACATAATTTCGTATAATATGTCCAAATTTCGAGACATTTCGTCGGTAAATAACAGAGAAAAAATTTTGGTGCACCGATAAAACAGCCTTAAAGCAAAAAAAAAAAAAACGTTGTAGTAAAATCATTTTAAAAGTATTGCTTGAACTAAAAGACTAGGAAATATTGTAAAAGCTTTGAAAATCAACAAGAAGTTATATAAGATATATAAGCGTTAAACACGTAGAAGAATTTAAAGTATAGAGTTATAAATGCATTAAATAACATTCTAAAGAATTTAAAAAAGGTAAACTTGCCGAGAGACTACAGAAAAATCGATAACAAATGTAAAAACGCCGAAAAGAGTTATGAAAGCGTTAAAAAACTATTAAAATATAATAAAAGCAATATAAAAAGCGCTAAAAAGCCTTATAAGCATTAAATTAACTCAAAGACATCAAAAGAAACATTAACTTATCAAAAACAGTCAAAAATCGCTAGAAATCAATTATTGAAAAACATTTTAAGAACGTTAAAATACTTAAAGATGTCGAGAAATTGTAGAAAATTGTTATGGAATATCGTTAAAAAACTAGAAAAAGGTAACAAAAGCATTGTAAAAGGGTTTAAAATGCCTTAGAAGCATTAACTCTTTAAAAACAATAAAAATGGGCAAAAAGGCATTACAATTATATGAAAAGCTTGTAAGAACGTTAAAAACTAATAAAATCTATGACAGAGATCCTTCCAATGTAAATAATTAAAAATAAAAGAATCAATATGAGTTCAATTAATCCTAGTACTTACCTATATCGGACTGTTTCAGCATTTATTTCCAATTTTAATAACCGTATTCTCTCGTAATTCATTTGAATTAATAAAAATGCGTCGTTTTTGGTATATATCTCGTCTATGAATGTTGAAATCTACAAATAAAAAATAATATGGCGTATATTTTCGTTTAGCATGCTATTTAGTCACTTATATTTACTTAATAAATCATCTTCCACGTTTTGATTCATTTAGTACTTGAGTTTTCGTGACCAAAAACGTTGTAAAGATGTTTCAGAATGTCGTGGACCTCGTAAATACGCATGCCCGAAAAAATAAATGGATCCTAAAAACATGCACCATTTTAATTTCATAAGAAATTGGGCGACAGGGTAGGATTTGCACGTGCTAATAATGTCGAGTATTTCCAATAAACATGACATATTATGTTTCTCTAATCTTAAACATTCTAGTTAGTCATCGCATTTTTATTTTAGCTATAAAAATTTACGACTTCCCATCTTCACAGCCGATAAGAATTGCTGTGTAAACATGTAAAATATTTACATTGCACTAATTTGGCTTGTAAATAAACTTTTTACGAATTGAAAAAAATCTAGAGAACAAATAAATAAATAACAAATAAATGTATGATAGAAAAATAATAGGATTTTGGATTTAAATTCAGCAAAATATGTTTATATACGAGACGAAAACAACAAATTTCCTTGGGAAAAGTATTCGCATGGGATTTTTTGCCGCATGAAATTTTTTGCATAATCACTTTCATAAAAACTGCAGAATAATGTTCAAGATGTCGCCCATTAAGTGGTCCTAATTTATTTATAGTTTTGTATAAATTCATTTTTACATTGGGATAAGGGCCTCAAACAACTAAAAACAATGTTTTAAAATCAAATAAGCCCAAACTAAAGTATCAGGAACTGATAAAACAAGGTTTGGTAAATTCAAAAATAATTGTGTTTTAGAGCCTCAAAAATCATGATTTTTCGTTTTTGTTTTAAATTGTTTAAGTTGAAATCGATCAACTTTAGAGAAAAATTACAATTAACCTTTTTTATTGAGATTGATCCAAAATCTGTGTAATTAAATTGTCTGCGTATTTAAATTAAATGTACACTACCTTCAATAATGAAGGCTATATCTCTCTTCTTCTTTCTTCAGCGCGATGGACTGAAAACTGGAATTTCGTTCTTGCACTTGGATGGAGGGTGATAAACTATTTACTTTTATGGGGTTATATGACACTCTCTAGATGGTAATGATATTATATACTCAATTTGACTGTGCAACCGGAATAGTCTCTAAGTATTTAAGAATATTAATGCGGCATCTACATAGAGACGGAGTGTTAGGTTACGCACGATAAGATACACACATACACGTTAATTAAAACTAAATAAGAAATGAAATAATCAATAAAATGTTAAAAGAACTAAAAAATATACATGGAGGGACGGAATACCGAGCTTGCCACCTTGATAAGTTTGTATTCATAGGTCATTGTTGTAGCCGTCGTCGTCGTCGCTATCAGAGAGTTCTGTTTCAGATGATTCGCTATCATCATCTAAATTTATAATGATCTCATGCGCTTCATCCAGAATGTATTCTCGGCTGAAGTACTCTTCTTCTACTTTATCAACATGCCTGCAAGTATTTGCCCATATTTCTGGCGTGATTTCATTTAGCCTAATTTTTGCTAGTTCTAAAACATCTGCTAATTTAAAAGTCGTGTTTCTTGCTGCAACTTCATTTTTTAAAATGGCCCATATCTTTTAATTGGGTTAAGTTCCGGATGATATGGTGGTAAACGTAAAACCGAGTGGCCGTGCTGTGCTAATAATTGGTCTACAGCATATACTGGGTTTTTAGGTTTAGCAATGAGTATCTTACTGTAGAGCTTGTTTTGTTTCGCTTTCATCGAAAAATATATTTCTTTTTGTTAACCATTTTTTTATATTTTTTTTTTTCGAAGCCGATGTATAAGATTTTTCAAGAGTCACATTATGATATGAGGCGTTGTCTATTACTAAAACTGACTTGGAAGGTAAATTGGGAAGAAGTTTGTCTTTTAACCACTTCATATAATTCTGGTGATTCATGTCATCATGATAATCACCAGTTTTTTGTCCGGATTTGAAAATAAAAGCGGCATTTTCGACAAATCCATTTTTACCACCACAATGTAAGGTGATCAGTCGTTGCCCTTTAGATACCGGAGATGTTATGTACTTGTTTCGTCCATCATCCCAACCTTTTGGAACTGTGTGGGAACTATGTATATAAGTTTCGTCACTATATACAATATTTCTATCTAAAAAAATTGTGAATTACTTTAAAATTAGTTATAATGTAAATAAATTAATATCTTACTTTCAGATTTGTATTTTTTCAGTTTTCTTAGAAATTCTGTTTATTTGGCTCTTATGTCAGTTTTTTCAATTAAAATTTTTCTATTGTCTTCCACTTTTCTCCACCTAAATCCTAATTTTTTCACAATTTTTCTGAAAGAAGATAGTTTACTAGTTACAATTCCTTCGTTTCTAACAGATTCGTAAACAGTTTTCATGGTAGGTCTTCTTTTGTAGATGGTAGCAAACGTGTAAATGGTATTTCTTATGACGTGTTCCTCAAATGGATTGACTGATGACTAGGGGCTGGGCTTGCAAATACTTGTTCTGGGTGATACAAATTGTGAAGTTGCTGGTTTGTTTTTACCTTCCTTAGTTATCCTTTTTACCGTACTTTCTGAGGTACCCGTTGCTTGAGCCACTCGCACTATTAGGGGTAAAGAAGTTGTGCAATATCCCAAATCTTTTTCCCGTTTCATAAATGAATAAACGTTAAAAATAATTTGCCTCCCTTGTCCATGGACCACTTTTCTATTGTTACTTTCCCCGTAAAACCGGTAGGTTTTAGATAATAGATAAAATGTTAAATATTGATTAAGTTTAAGAAAAACATTAAAAAAAAATGAATTGAAAAGAAAAGTACTTTAAAAGTTTGTAAAGCATTTAATTTCTAGCCAAGATCCTTTGGCTTTATACATTCTAGAAACTAAATGCTTTACACAGTTTTAAAACACTTTTCATTTTAATTTATTAATTTATGACAAGCTTTTACAAAACATATTTTTGCAAAAAATATTAAAATAAACAATAAAGTTATCAGATTTTACACACTTTTAAAAGTGATTTTTTTTTTAATTCATTAATTTGTCATAAGTGTACAAAACATATAAATTATTTTAAAATAAACATAATTTAACTTACATTCTTAGGATCTCACTGTAAAATGTTAAAAACGACTTGAAACGCACTGAACATAAATAGTATCTCACTATAAAATATTAAAAACGATTGATCACAAAAATACAAAAATATTAAAGGTATTTCACTAACGCAAAAAACTAGTTCGTCTCTGTCTCGCTAAGATAACGCACCGAAGAGAATTCAATGTTTTTAGCAATGCCTGATTTCGTTGTTTCATCCGTAGATCGACGTCACTAAATAATGACGTCAGGTCCACGACATTCTGAATTATCTTTACGTTATCAATGAGACTTTATTTTTTAATGAGCTTTTTTATGAAAAATAAATAACATGCAACTCCGTAAACACTAATATAAGAACTGTTCCATATACATTTAAAGATGTATATTCATTTTAATATTGTTATTAAAAGTTCAAGCACCTTGTAAAAGCTTAAAAATGCGTTGTAGATACGTTAAAAGTATTGGTATCGTTTTAAAACCATTAAAGCAACATTAAACACGAGGAAAACAGCTGGAAAAGCTTTAAAATGCGATAAAAAATTAAAGTATCGAAAACTGTTATTCAAGTAATAAAAATCCACTGAGAAGCTTGATAAAAAGCTTTAAATATTCGATGAAACATTATAAAAGCATTAAAAGAAATTAAAAATCAACAATAAGCACGGTAAAAGGGGTAAAAAGTAGTGTTGTAAAACAACCTAAGTATTTATAATATTGTAATTGTATTTAATTATTTTATTTTATCTTATTTATTTTTAAAATTTATCTATCTATTTTATTTTATCTTTCATTTTATTTTTATTTATCTTGTGCGCTCAGATCGTCACCTCTCGTGTTAATGTGTTTGCGACCATCTCGTTCATAACCGCTCTTCACCCCGCGTTATAGGAGATAGGACAATGATAATGCGAATTTGCCTCTCGGCAAGTAAAGACGGGCTGGGGTGTGTTGTCGATCCCGAAAAGTGTGTGATGCGTAAGTGAAAGATGCGCTTGTAAACCCAGTATTTTGTGTTAAGCCGTAAACCCTGTATCTTGTGCGCTCAGATCGTCACCTCTCGTGTTAATGTGTTTGCGACCATCTCGTTCATAACCGCTCTTCACCCCGCGTTATAGGAGATAGGACAATGATAGTGCGAATTTGCTCTCGGCAAGTAAAGACGGGCTGGGGTGTGTTGTCGATCCCGAAAAGTGTGTGATGCGTAAGTGAAAGATGCGCTTGTAAACCCAGTATTTTGTGTTAAGCCGTAAACCCTGTATCTTGTGCGCTCAGATCGTCACCTCTCGTGTTAATGTGTTTGCGACCATCTCGTTCATAACCGCTCTTCACCCCGCGTTATAGGAGATAGGACAATGATAATGCGAATTTGCCTCTCGGCAAGTAAAGACGGGCTGGGGTGTGTTGTCGATCCCGAAAAGTGTGTGATGCGTAAGTGAAAGATGCGCTTGTAAACCCAGTATTTTGTGTTAAGGCCGTAAACCCTGTATCTTGTGCGCTCAGATCGTCACCTCTCGTGTTAATGTGTTTGCGACCATCTCGTTCATAACCGCTCTTCACCCCGCGTTATAGGAGATAGGACAATGATAGTGCGAATTTGCTCTCGGCAAGTAAAGACGGGCTGGGGTGTGTTGTCGATCCCGAAAAGTGTGTGATGCGTAAGTGAAAGATGCGCTTGTAAACCCAGTATTTTGTGTTAAGCCGTAAACAGTTTTGTCTCAGTACGCTGTATCTTTGTTACTGCCCCCCTAGCACTGTAAAGCTAATGATATTTGTATAACTCTTTTTAGTATTATCAGAATTGCGATAATTATCAATGTAGAATCAGCCCTGTAAGTTCACTATAAATAAATTGAAGGAAAAATACGCCTTAAGTGTTTTATTGCTTCAGTGGTCTCTAATAAATATTTTGAAGCAATTAGGTGTTCAACTGCGCCTCTCTTAAATATGGAAAGTAAAAAAAAGTAAAAAAGAAAATAAATTTATCCTCTCCAATGTAATAACTTTAAAAAGCATTTTAGCATGTTTTTAAATCTTTAAAACCGTTAAAAAGCATTTTAAAACTTTTAAAAAATCGAAAAGGTTTATTAAATGTTATAAGCGACATTAAAACGTCGATGACATGTTTTAAAAGCATTATGAGGGAGTTAAAAATCATAAAAAAGTCCTTTAAAAGAGTAATTAAAGCTAAAATGTTAAACCCGTCAAAAAGTCTTGTACAAGACTTAATAAGTAATAAAAGACTTAATAAGCATTGCAAAAAAGGTAAAAAGTAATGTAAAAAGAATTTTAAAAGCTTTAAAATTAGGGTAAAAACGTTAAAACGTGTAGCAAAAGGGGTAAAAAGTAATGTAAAAGCATTAAAAAATATTTTTAAATTTTTAGACCCGTTAAAAGTATTTTTGAAGTATTTAAAATCTTTGAAAACCTCGGAAAGTAAATGCTAGTGGACGTAACAGCTTTGACAAATTGTTTTACAAGCATTATGAAAGCGTTAAAAATCATCAAAAAGTCTTTTAAAAGCGTAATAAAGGCGGTAAACTGTTAAATCCAACTGTTAAAGTCTTGTAAAAGCGTTAATCAGGATTGTAAATGGATAAAAAGTAATTTAAACAGCATTTAAGAATCTTTAAAAATATTCTAAAGGCGTTAAAGAACAGTAAAATGGGTAAACAATAATTTAAAAGTATTAAAAATCACTTTAAAAGTTTTTAAATACTTTAGAAACGCTAAAAAACATTTTTAAAGTTTCTAAAATCTTTAAAATTCTCGAAAAGACTTAGTAAATGCTATAAAAGACATTAAAGCTTCTACAAATTGTTTGAAAAGCTTTATGGAAGCAATAAAAATCATCACAAAGTCTTTTAAAGAGTAATAAAGGTGGTAAACTGTTAAAGCCCTCAAAAAGTCTTGTAAAAGCGTTAATCAGGATTGTAAAATGGATATAAAGTACTGTAAAAAGCATTTAAAAACATTCTAATAGCGTTAAAAAGCATTATAAAAGGTACAAACTTAATGTAAACAAGCATTTTAAAGTCTTTCTTTAAAGCAAACGTACAAAAACATTTCTGAAGTTTTTAACCTATCGAAAAAGCTTCGTAAAATATTTTAATATGGTTATCAAAGAGTTAAAATTAAAATTATCAAAACTACTTTAAAAGAATAATAAAGGAGATATAGGGTTTCATAAGAAAACACCAATAACTGACCGTCAAAAGATAAGATTTCGTTTAATTAACTTACCTCGCCTAGGGTAGTTCGTTCAATTCGCCCTTTCACTTCTCTCGCGAACCATTGGTCTGTATTATTCACTAAACTAGCTGTTATTATAGGCGTACTTATATTTTTACTGGCGTTAATAATTTCTTTAATTCTGGAAAAGATAAAACACTTAATATCACAAGTTGTTAAATACACGCTTGTATCTTACCTAGGAACTCCTTGGGTGATGTTCATGCTGGCAACACCGGCAAAGTGGAAAGTTTTCAGCGTCATCTGTGTACCTGGCTCTCCTATACTTTGAGCTGCTAGCGCACCTACAGCCGTACCAGGTTCTATGATAGATCTCGTGTACTTCTGTCCACACGTTTCTAAAAATGTGACCAACTGACTGCAAGTTAAACGTTCGATTTCTTTCGCTATCGGACTGCTGCCGAACTTCTTTTGAACGTTTTCTACTCTTCCCGCAATAATATCCATAAAATTTCTAAAAAAAAACAGTGATCTAAGTATATAATATAAAGATAATATAGTCGACGACGAGTAATTTATTCTGTTACGCATTGGTCCTTCGAATCGAATTTAAAGTCTCATGATCCGCTTGGAAGTAGTACAATTGTCGTGGTGTTAACACATTCTTCACAAATAAAAAAGCACCTTATTATATATAAGTTAATTTATGACAAGAAAAGAAGATATACGTCATTGTTAGGACTGGAAGGAAATACATAGTTCTAAAAGAGTTTGAAAAAGAAAAAGCGTTGACAGCACTAAAAGCTTTGAAACAAAAGTAATAAAAAACGCTGTCAAAAGCTTTATAAGCATGAGAACAACATTATGAAAGCACTACAAATACGCTACAAACATTGGAAAATAATTACAAAAACGCTACAAAAGCGTCATTAAACAACTTCAAAAACGTGATCATAAAAGCCGTGCAATTTAGCCGGGCAAAAAGTTTAAAAAGCGGTATATTAATCGGAAAACTACTGTAAAATAATTGTAACAACTCTGAAAAACCATTTAAAATCTCAGTGTAAACTTTAAAATGCGTTATCAGTATAAAAAGCATTATAAAAGCGCAGCAACAGCTTTACAACAGTAGTTATAATAGCTTCAAAACATAAGCATCGAAAAAGCATTACAAAAGCTGCAAAAAGCGTTTTTAGCGATGAAAAAGCATCGGAAAAGCATTATAAAAACGCTGCAACAGCGTTAAAAGCACAGAAAAGTTATGGAAGCGCAGTAACAGCTTTAAACAATGTTATAATCATCGAAAAATAATTATAAAAGCAAGGCAAAAGTTTACAACACTTAAAAACAGCTTCGAAAAAAGTTGTAAAAGTGTTGTAAAGCGCTATAAGCATAAAAAGCCATTTTAAAATCTCAGCATGAACTTTAAAAAGCGTTATCAGTACACAAAAAGCATTATAAAACACTGCTACAGCTTTAAAAAACATTATAAGCACCAATAAGCATTATAAATGCGCTACATAACTTTGAAACGCGGCACATCTGTCGATAAAGTATTATTAAAAGCTCTACAACAGTAGTTATAAGAGCGCTGTAAGAGCTTCAAGAATATATGCATCGAAAAGGCATTACAAAAGCTCCAAAAAGTGTTTGAAAAAAGTTATAAAAGTGTTGTAAAGCGCTTAAGCATAAAAGCCATTATAAAATCTGAACATAAACTTTAAAAAGCGTTATAAGTAGACAAAAGGCATATAAAACACTACAATAGCTTTAAAAAGCATTATAAGCACCGAGAAAGCATTATAAATGTGCTATAAAAATTTAAAAAATTTAAAAAGCGATATATGTGTCGATAAAGCATTTAAAAGTTCTACAACTTTAAAAATAGTTATAAAAGCATTATGAGTTCATTATAAGAGCATTATAATATCAAAAATTGTAGCAACATCGAAAAATCATTATATAGGTTCTAAAAAGCGTATTAAGCGTCACAAAAGGTGTATAAAAGCGTGTAAAAAGCGTTATAAGCATCCAAGAATTACTATGAAAGCACTACACACACTTTAAAAACGTTAAAAGCATCGGAAATCGTAAAAGCTATACAAAAACCATGGAAACGCAGAAATAACTTAAAACAGACGTTATAAGCATCGAAAAATGATTTTAAAAGTCAGGCGAAAGTTTAGAAGCAACAGTTTTACTTAATTGGAAAACCACTATAACAACGCTGCAACTGCTTTGAAAACCTTATTATAAACAATTAAAAAGCATTATAAGAATAAAAAGTCATTATAGAATCTCAGTATAAACTTTAAAAAGCGTTATTAGCATACAAAAAGCGCACATAAAAGCGCTGCAACAGCTTAAAAAATATTAAAAAGCATTATAAGTACCGAAGAAGCATTATAAATGCGCTACAAAACTTAAAAAAAAATTTATATGCGTCGATAAACATTTAAAAGTTCTACAACGGCTTGAAAAATGTTACAAGTATCAAAAACGCTGCAAAAGCCCTAAAAACCGTTATAAGAATGGAAAAATGAATATACAATTGTTTCAAACGCTTTAAAAAGCTTATATTCATCTAAAAAGTATAATAAAAGAGCTGTAATATCTTTAAAGGCGTTATAAAGCATTATAAGACCGAAAGAGCATTGCAAACGCTGAAAAAACGTTTTGTGAATCGAAAAATGATTGAAAAGCTATACATTAGCTTTGAAAAAGTTAAAAAACGTTATAAGCAAAGAAAAACAATATAAAAGAGCTGTAACAGCTTTAACAACGTTTTTAGCATCAAAAAGGCATTATAAAAGCGCTGCAAAAATACGAAAAAGCATAATTAAAGCGCTGCAACATTTCAAAAAGCATTTTAAAGTCTTTAAACAGGATCATAAGCAGCGAAGAAGCATTATAAACCGATGCAAAACTTTAAAAAGCGTAATATGCACTGAAAATGATTTAAAAGCTATAAATCTTTAAAAAGGGTTATCAAATCGTCCTGAGCACCGAAGACACACTATAAAAGCGATGTAAGAGCTTTAAAACCTTAAATAGATATAAAAAATCTAGCAGGGCCAAAGACTTGTAACAGATGCATTGTTGGCATCAAAAACGCAATTTAAAAACATCAAGAATCTATATTATCTTCATATCTTCGACAAAAAAAAACTATAAAGCCTCATAAACCCTTAAAACAATGATGTTGCTATATAATAATAAAAATATCATAGTCAAGCGGAACAGAAAAGTTGGAGCAAATAATGGATATTAAAGAGGAATTTTCTGAGGTTGCGGACGAGTTTTTCTTCCATTGTGCATTGGTCCTTCGAATCGGATTAAAACTTTAAAACCGACGACTATCGTAAAAACCATAAATAGAAAAAGTAAGTGACACGGAAGTTGTTACAATGATGTTACAGCTGTTAAAACATTAGGTAAAGTTATACTCACACTAATTCTGTCCGAAAATCTTCACTGCACTCCTCCAGGGCATTTGTAGAGATGAAAGCTTTAGTTGCCCTTCGAATTTGGTCTCCATCAAGAGCCACTTCTTGTCTATACGGGCACTTTGCTTTGATATGATCCAAAACTCTCTCGAAGTCCACTGGACAATCTTTACCTTCCATATACGTCGGATCCAGACCATCACAACCGTAATTCAACTGTATTAGATCCCCTTCGGCGTTCCTCACCGAACCGTCGTAATGAACCACCAAATCCTCCAGCGCCTTCACTAATCTTCTTTGCATGTATCCCGTTTCAGCGGTCTTGACGGCGGTATCAACCAATCCCTCTCTACCGCCCATGGTGTGGAAGAAAAACTCGGTGGGGGTCATACCAGAGTAAAAACTATTCTCCACAAAACCTTTCGCTTCGGGTGTTCTAGAGTAGTGTTCAAAATGTGGAAGGGAACGATCGTCGAAGCCGTTCGGTACTCTTTTTCCGTTAAGCGCCTGTTGGCCCACGCAAGCGATCATCTGAGAAATATTGATAAAGGAACCTTTGGATCCAGAGAGAGCCATAATGAGAGGACTGTTTGTTGAATGCAGTTCGGCAACACAAGCCTGGCCTGCGTGTTCTCTTATGACTGATAATTCTTTTAGAATCACTGCTTCCAAGGATTCCTCGACGGTGCAACCTGGTTGAGTAGGGAGTTTGCCTTCGTTCATTTGTTTAATGAAGTCCTGACATTTGGCATACCTAAAATATACAAGTGTAAGTATTGGGAAAACTTAATTTGCGCATGTAAATGTTTTGAGTTGAGAAAAATACTCACCCTTCACTTAAAAGTTTGTTCTTTCTTCTGATTAAGTTTTCTCCTGGAGTAACGTCCCCTATTCCTATGGAGAATCCCGCATTCATCAAGTAATTTGAAGCCAACCGGGCTACAAATAATAAAAAATTACAAAACATTGTCAATAATATATTTCTAAATTGTTTGAAACGGACTGACCATAATAAACCACGTTGTGCAAACATTGCAAAGCATAAAAGGGCCGAAACAGCATTGTAAAAACGTTAAAAAGCAATAAAAGTGCACCGGAAAACTTTAAAAAGCATTATAAGCATTGATGAAGCATTATAAATGCCATGCTAAAGATTTAAATGCTAAAAATCATAGAAAACACATTCTAAGATTGTTATAGCAGCGGAAAAGTTTCATTGCAACGAAAAAACATTATAAAAACGTTAAAAATCTTCGAAAAGTGTTAAACAGCGATTAAACTTCATGCAAAAAGATATGTAGAAGCGTTTAAGACACTGAAAAATTAATATATCATTATAAAATGTCAAACCTGTATTGTAAAAACGTTAAAAAGAGTTATTGGTATCGAAAAAGTGTTATAAATGCACCGGAAAACCTTAAAAAGCATTATAAGCATCGACGGACGCTAGATAATTTTTGAACAGAGCTGAAAATGTAAAAAAAGTAATTAAGACTTATAAAACATAGGAAAACTGGTGTAAAAAGAATCGCAGAAGCTTTGAGAACTCCGAAAAATCATTATGTGATCAAAAAAAAGTTGGTAAGCAGCTTAGCATAATCAAAAATTATGTAACATTATAAATATATTTGTAAAGTGTTTGAAACGGATTGAACATAAATAACGTTGTAACAACGTTGCATTATAAGGGCCGAAAGGGCATTGTAAAAACGTTAAAAACCATAATTAGCACAGCACAAAAGCATTGTAAATGCGCTGGAAACTTTTAAAAATGATTATAAGCATATATGAAGCATTATAAATGTGCTGATGAAGCTTTAATAAGTAAAAAATCGTAAAAAAAACGTTCTAAAAGTGTTGCACCGACGGAAAAGCCTTTTTGGCATGAAAAAAACAACATAAACCCTTCAAGAAGCTACATAATCTTCGAACAGCGTTAAAATCATCGAAAAAGCAATAAATCCTCATATATCGTTTATCGAGTTTGAAAATTCCGAAAAATCATTACATCACAATCAAAAAAACGGTTGGAAAATGGCTAGAAATAGTCAAAAATTACATAATATTATCAATAATATATTAGAAAATTGTTAGAAACGGGCTGAATATAAACAATGTTGTAAAAACGTGAAGAAACTATGACAAAGGTCAAAACTGAATTTTAAAAACGTTAAAAAGAGTTATTAGTTGTAGCAGCGGAAGGCCTTGCTGGCATCAAAAATAACAATGTAATACCGTTAAAAAGCTATATAACCTTCAAATATCGTTAAAATCGTCGAAAAAGCAATAAAGCCTCATATAACGTTGGAAAATGAGCTAAAAAGAATCGTAGAAGTGTTGAAAATTACGAAAAATCATTATAGCATCAAACGAGGGCTAATCGGCTAGAAATAATCAAAAATTGCATAACATTATCAATAATACACTGACTGAATATTTACAACGTTGTTAAAACTTGGAAAGGATGATACACGCCGAAACAGCATTCCAAAACCGTCGAAAAGCATCATTAGAGCAGAAAGAGTATTATAAATGCGGTTGAAATTATAAAATTAAGGCATTATAAGGCATAAGCAAAGAAAGGCATTATAAGCATTGATGAAGCAGTATAAATCTCGGCTGCCCGAGTTTTAATCGTTAAAAATAGTAGAAAAAACATCCTAAAGTGTTGTAGCACGGGAAAAGCCTTGTTGGCATCGAAAAACACAATGTAAAAACGATAAGAAGCTACATAATCTTCGACAGTATAAAAAACGTTGAAAATGCAATGAAGCATCTTATAAAGTTGGAAAAACGTTTTGAAATGAATTGTAGAAGCGTTAAAAATGCTTCGGAGCTCCGTAAGAGCGATTTAAAAATATTCTAAATGCTTTAAAACCGTCAAAAATATTTGTAAACACGTTGAAAGACTAGAAACATGATTGTAAAGCATTAAAAAGCCTTATAAGAGTCTAAAAAGTGTTTTAAAAGCATTGAGAAAACATTAAGGTGTCTTAAAAAGTGATAAATACATTGAAATGCGTTGAAAATGCTTCAAAAATTCCAAAGAAGCATTATATTGTAAAAGTATTGCAATAAGCAAGTAATAAAATAATAGGAAAAAGTCAAATAAAAGCATTTATAGCGTAAAATTACATATAATTAAACATAAGTAGCATGAATCACTTTAAATACTGTTAAAAAGCGATAAAAGCAGTCAAAAAAGAGGTTTACAAGCATTATATGGACATCAAAAAGATTTAAAACAATAAAAGTCATATAAATGCGTTAATGAAGCATGAAAATCGTTAAAAAAAGGTGAATTAAAAGCATTTTAAAGCATTATAAAACATTCAGTAGCATTAAATATATTAAAAAACTAAAAAAAAGCGTAAAAATGTACATTGTACATTTCTAGCATCTCTACTTTAGGTATAAGTTACTTACCTAACCTCCACATCGATCTAATGGCAAACTCCTTTCCGAAATCCCTTAAAATAACATAGAATATATTTCCACCTTTTCCTCCATTACCAAGATGTCCTTTGTCTAAGGTACCAGCAATCAGTTCCGAGTTCCTTATCAGTACATACGAGTCCTTAACGCACATCTCTCTATTTTTCGTGTAAGCTTTACCTTTTGCTTCTAAGTTCGCCTTCACGGGGTATTTCTTGTTGGGCCGGAAGATCAAACTGCATATTTGTTTGCCGGACCATAGTGCAACCGGCTAGAAGTATTAAAAATTAGTTAAGGTGACGTCAAAAATTATATTGTATTGTGAATGCTTCTCAAAATGGTAAATTGTTTTCCAATTTCCAATAAAAAAGCATTTAATTTGTTGATAAAATGCAGGAAAAGTATTGTAAAATCATTCAAAAATGTTTTTTGGCATAGCAAAAGTATTGTATAAGCATTTGAAAGCATAAAAATGTTAAAAAGCGTTGCAATCGTTGAGAAATTATTGTTACAGCGTTGTAACAGCGTAACAAGCACGGCCAAAATACTTTGAACATTTTAAAAAGCGTTGAAAAGCTAAACAATTATTCACGCCGCGTCATTAGCGGCGAAAAAGCACTGTAAAAGCGTCAAAATGCACTTATGAGCTCTAAAAAGTGTTAAAAATATCAGAAAAGTACTATAAAGTTAAATTACATTGTCTAGTGTTGTACACCCAGTCAAGGGTGTTGAAAATGCATTGTAAAAGCGTTAAAAACACGGAAAAAGCGTTTTAAAATGGGTTAAGAACCGTTATAAGAGGTTTAAAGACGGTTTAAAATGTCTAAAAAGCATTATAGTACAAGAACAATGTTAAAAAGTTATAAGGTATAAAAAGTACCAAGAGAATTTAAAATTATTTAAAAAGCATTCTAAAAGCTCTAAAAAGCATTTTAGAAGCATTTATATATCGAAGTAGCCATGCGAAACAATTAAAGGTATTGTGGAAGCCTTAAAAGTACTTATAAACTCTTGTAAAAGAGTTAAATAGCATTAAAAATGCCAAAGGAATAGTAAATTATTTAAAAGCCATTGTTAAAGCTCTAAAAAGCACTGTAGAAGCATTAATTTCTTCGAAAAAGCACTGTAAATTCATTAAAAATCATTGAATAAGCTCGCAAAATGCTCAAAAGCATTAAAATACATTGTGGAAGCGGTAAAAGCAACCAAAAAACTTAACAAGCTTAAGCAGCATTAAGAGCATCATGAAATAGCCTTACGAAACTATTAAAAGCATTGTGAAAGCGTTAAAAAGTATCTACAAACGCTTGTAAAAGAGTTAAACATTACAAAAATTGCTAAAAGAATTGTAAACGATTTAGAAAGCAATGTAAAAGCGATATGGACACGGAAAAAGCGTTTTAAAATGCGTTAAAAGCCGTTATAGGAGGTTTAAGGGCGGTTGAAAATGTCTAAAAAGCTTTATAGTGCAGGAAAATTATTAAAGCATCAAAAATTCCTGTAAACCTGTTAAAGGCATTATAAAAGGCGTTGCAGGAGCAGGAAAAGAACCATGTAAAAAAGTTATAAGGCATAAAAAGTACAAACAGAATTGAAAATTATTTTAAAAGCATTCTAAAAGCTCTAAAAAGCATTTTGAAAGCAATTATATATCGAAGTAGCCTTGCGAAACTATTAAAGGTATTGTGAAAGCCTTAAAAGTACCTATAAACGCTTGTAAAAGACTTAGACAGTATTAAAAATGCCAAAAGAATTGTAAATTATATAAAAAACATTGTAGAAGCATTCATTTTTTCGAAAAAACACTGTAAGAGCATTAAATATCATTGAACAAGATCGCAAAAGTATTCAAAAGCATTAAAATACGTTGAGAAAGAAGTAAAGCCAACCAAAAAACTTATCGAGGTTAAGCAGCATTGAAAGCATCATGAAATAGCCTTACGAAACTGTTAAAAGCCTTATGGAAGCATTAAAATATAGTTACAAACGCTTGTAAAAGAGGTAAACATCATAAAAATTGCTAAAAGAAGTGTAAACACTTTATAACACAATGTAAAAGCGATATAGCCACGGAAAAAGCGTTTTAAAATGAGTCAAGAGCCGTTATAGGAGGTTTAAAGGCGGATGAAAATGTCTGAACAGCATTATAGGACAGGAAAATTATTAAAGCATTAAAACATCTTTGTAAACGTGTTAAAATCATTACAAAATACGTTGCATACGTACTAAAAGAACAATATACAAAAGTTATAAGGCATAAAAAGTACCAAGAGAATTTAACATTATTTAAAAAGCATTCTAAAAGCTCTAAAAGGCGTTAAAAGCAATTATATATCGAAGTAGCCTTGCGAAACTATTAAAGGTATTGTGGAAGCCTTAAAAGTACCCATAAATTCTTGTAAAAGAGTTAAACAGCTTTAAAAATGCCAAAGGAATTGTAAATTATTAAAGAAATATTCTTAAAGCTCTAAAAAGCATTTTAGAAGCATTAATTTCTTCGAAAAAACACTGTAAAAGCATTAAAAATTATTGAATGAGCTCTAAAAGTGTTCACAGTGTCGGAAAACCATTAACTTCCATTCTAAAAGCATGAAAATGCATTGTGGAACCGGTAAAAGCAACCAAAAAGCCTTACGAAACTGTTAAAAGTGTTGTGAAAGCATTAAAAGTGCCCATGTACCCATAAACGCTGGTAAAATAGTTAAACAGCATTAAAAATTTGTTAAAAACTAAAAAGCATTATAAAAGCATTTATATCTTCGAAAAATTACTGGAAACTTTACTGAATGAGCTCTGAAAAGTGTTCAAAATGTGAGAAAAGCATTAACTCACATTCTAAAATCATTAAAATAAGTTTTGAACGCGGTAAAAGCAATGCAAGAAACGTGCCAAGGTTACACAACAATGAAAGTATCAAAGTAGCCTTGCGAAATTGGTAAAGAGTGTTGTGGAAATACTAAAAGAAAAATAAATACTACATTATTTGCTGAACTCATATTTATGAATTATAATCATTGAACATATTGAAGTAAATATAAAAATTACCTTTATTATACAAGGTGGAGGCAAATCGATATTCATATGACTATCGTTTCCAGCTAACAAGGTCGCTGCCAGTTGTGTAGCATGTGCAAAATCCAGAAACGTATCCTTCTTCGTTAGTAAATAACCACCAGTCAAAAAATCTTGAGTAGCCGCGATCAGGAGCTCTCCGTTCCTAGGAGTCACTAAGTTGCTTTTGTTCTGAAATAGAAACGAACATTTAAAAATGTTTTTAATATTTATAAATAAATATTTACACCTTAATATCTTCGAAAAAATACTGTAAAAGCATTAAAAATTGTAAAAAGCATTGTAGAAACCTTAATATCTTCTAAAAAGTACTGTATAAGCATTACAAATCATTTAATGAGATACAAAAAGTGTTTAAAGTGTCAGCAAAGCTTTAACTCACATTGTAAACGATGAAAATGTATTGTTTAAGTTGGAAAAAGCATTCAACATACATAGAAAAATTAAGCAACATTTAGAGCGTCGAAATAGTCCTGCGAAACTGTTAAAAGTGCTGTGAAAGTTTTAAAAGTTACTATAAACGCTTGTAAAAGAGTGAGACAGCATAAAAAGTGACAAAAGAATTGTAAACCATTTAAAAACATTGTAAAAACTCTAAAAAAGTATTGTAGAAGCATTAATATTTCGAAGAAGCACTGAAAAGTATTAAAAATCATTTATTGAGCTTCAAAAAGTGTTCAAAGGGCCAGAAAACCGTTAACTCACATTCTAAAAGGATGAAAATGCATTGTGGAAGTGGTAAAAACATAAAAAAAACATATAAAAATTAAGCAGGATTGGAAGCATCGAAATAGCCTTGCAAAACTGCTAAAACCTTTGAGTAAGCATTAAAATACCTATAAACGATTGTAAAAGAGTTAAACAGCAAAAAAGTGCCGAAAGACTTGTAAATGATTTAAAAAGCATTGTAAAAGCTCTAAAAGCATTGAAGAAGCTTTAATATTTCGAAGAAGCACCGTACAGCATTAAAAATCAATGATCCAAACTCTAAAAAGCATGAAAATGCATTGTGAAAGCAATGTAAAAGCATCCAAAATACATATAAAAATTAAGCTGTATTGGAAGCATCGGGATAGCCTTGCGATATTGTTAAAAGCCTTTATGGAAGCCTTAAAAGTACCTATAAACGCTTGTAAAAGAGTTAAACATCATAAAAAGTGAAAAAAGAATTGTAAATAATTTAAAACCAATTGTAAAACTCTAAAAAGCATTGTATAAACATTAATATCTTCAAAAAGTAATGTAATAGCATTAAAAATCATTGAATCAGATACAAAAAGTGTTAACTCAAATGTCAGCAAAGCATTAACTCATATTCAAAAACATGAAAATGTATTGTGGAAGTTGGAAAAAGCATTCAAAATACATAGACAAATTAAGCAGCATTGGAAGCGTCAAAATAGCCTTGCGAAACCGTTAAAAGCGTTATGGAAGCTTTAAAAGTAACTATAAACTATAAAAAAAATGCATTGTAGCAGCATTAATATCTTCGAAGAAGTGTTCAAAGGGTCAGAAAATCTTTAACTCCCATTCTAAAATCATGAAAATATAGCATATCATAGTGATAGCATTGATAGGCATCGAACTTGCCTTGCGAAACTGGTAAAAGCGTTGTGGAAACCTTTAAAGTACCTATAAATACTCATAACACAGTTAAAAAATCATCAAAAGTGACAAAAGCATTGTAAATACTTTAAAAAGCATTGTAAAAACTCTAAAGAGCATTGTAGAAGCATTAATATCTCTGAAGAACCACCGTAAAGCATTAAAAATCATTGATTGAGCTCTAAAAAGTGTTCAAATATTTGACAAATTAAAGCGATGAAATATTTTACATTCCTAGTTTAAAAGCAACTTTAAAATATATTTATCTCACTACTGTAATTACCAAACAAAAAAAAAAACTAAAAACGATATCCCACGTTTCTTATTTGACCCTCTTTAAAGTATTTTCGGTTTTTTAATATCATTTATTCGTCCGAACTATTCAATCTAATATAACTTAAGTATTGTTAAACTCTAAAAATACAAAAAAAAACTGTATCTATCAGTACTCACCCCCATTAGTATAAGTGCCTCGGCCTTGGCCTCCTCAGTTTGAGGCAAATGTAAATTCATTTCGTCTCCATCAAAATCTGCATTGTACGGATTACAAACACATTCGTTGAACCTGAACGTCCTATGGTTGTGAATTTTCGCCCTGTGTGCCATGATAGACAGCTTATGCAAACTTGGTTGACGATTGAAAAGAACTACATCATTGTCGTGCAGGTGTCTTTCAACCATGTCACCCAACTGTGAAAAAAACATAAATTGTTCTTAAATTATATCGCAAGGCTCACATTTTGGAACATTTTAAAGATATTTGCATTTGGAACTTGGTTCTTACCTTTAATTCTTGCGCAAGTTTTTCTCTATTACCATACTTCAAAAATCTCTTAAACTGAGACCCTTTCTGTTGCACGTAGTTGGCACCAGGCCACTTATCAGGGCCATTAATAACTAACGTCCTCATAACATCTATATTGGCATGGATTACCTTCTCCGGAAAGGTTAGGATTTTAGCTATATGCTTCGGAACCCCCACTTGGTCTATTTCTAAATTTGGATCCGGAGATATTACAGTCCTGGAAGAGAAGTCGACTCTTTTTCCAGAAAGGTTGCCTCTGAATCGTCCTTGTTTGCCTTTGAGCCTTTGAACTAAGCCTCTACCTGGTTTTTTAGGCTAAAAAGGAAACAATTCAATAGTAAATGTGATAATATATTATACGTCAAAGTAGGTGCCACATGTCCAATGAAATGTGGATGATTCACGAATTAACACTTTGAGAGGTTTTAAAAGCAACGAAAAACTTAATTAAACCGTCAAATAAGCTTTAAAAAGCATAAACATTATGGTAAAAATCAATACAGACGGTAAAAAATTGTTGTAAACACGTTCAAAGCAAGGAGAAGGTGTTAAAAACATCGAATAAGAGGTAATAAGTTCGAAACAACTTTGTAAAAGACGTAAAAGTTTCGAAAAAACTAAATGAAAGTGTTAGAAGCATTAAAAATGTCGAAAAACATCGTAAAAGACGTTTAAGTGGCGTGGAGAATGAGGATAAAACTGTTAAATTGATAAAACATATTATAAAAATTAAAATCATGGAGCAAGCTAGAAAAATGAAAAATGCATTGCAAAAAACATTAGATATATTGAAAAGACGTTACAAAAAGTTGAAAAGCGCTATAAAAGCAGTAAACAGCATTAAGCTTCAAAAAAGCCTTATAAAAAGGTAATAGTAACGGAAAAGCGTTAAAATTGTAGAGAATGTGTTTAGCATGAAAATGAGACTGTGTTAAAATCATTGGAAAAGCTCGGAAAAAGCATTTTAAAGGAATGCAAAAGCATTTAAATTTTATGGAAAGCCACAAAAGCATTGATAAACCATTAAAGGTTAAAATCTCTAAAAGTTAGTTCAAAACATCGAAACGGCATTGTAAGGAGCCTTAAATATTGTTAAAACGCATTGAAATAGGGTTGAAATAGCATTATAACCTGTTTAAAGCTTCGAAAAGCGTTAATAAGCATTCAAAAGAAACGATAAAGGCACCAAAAAGCGTTGTAAAACGTTTAAAAAAGAATTAAAGCGTCGATAAAGTGTAAAAAGAGTTTTAAAAAGTTATAAGCACAGAAAAATATTAGAAAACATTAAAAACGTTTAACTATCAGGAAATCAAACTTAAGAAGCAAAACAACGCCAGAAAGAGATGTAATAGTCATAAATAGCGGTTACAGCTTCGAAAATGCGATTTAAAAAGTTAAAAGTATTGAACAAGCATGAAAAGAGCAAAGGGCATTGAAAATACTAATTCTATGCGTCCTGAAAATATTTGTGAAAAAGACTTAAGAAGCAATAACGACGTTGAAAAGGCTTTGTTAACGAGCCAAATAGTATTATGTCTGTCAAAATAACATTGTAAAAAGTAAATCATTTATAAGGTTGAAAAAAACGCGTTAAAACTGACAGGAAAGTGTTAAGAGCATCAAAAAGGTGTTGCAAAATGTCAACTTGTAAATTAAAACTGTCAATAAACTCGAGATGTATTGAAAAAGCTTTAAAAAGCGTTAAGAAAGAGGAGAAAGCATTTAAAAAAATTAAAACCATCGAAAAAGTGTCGAAAGGCTTCGACGCTGTTAAAAAAAAGCGTTAAAAGCGGTGAGAAAGTATTCAAAGTATCAAAAAAGCTTTGAAAAAGGTTCGAATAAACTTATGCATAAAAAGCATAGTAAGAATCACTGCGTTTGTTAAAAAAGCATTACAAAAGCTTTAAAATCCCGTTAAATTTTGGGAAAAGCTTTATTGATAAAGCGTTAAAAGCTTCTGCGAAAAAGCTCTGTAATAACTTTAAGCAGCATTGAAAATGTTGAAAAAATCTTCAGTAGCATTTAAATAGTACGTTAAAAGCGCAGAGAAAATGTTATGTTACATTATAACATGTTTAAAGCTTCGAAAAGCGTTAAAAAGCATTCAAAAGAAACGATAAAGGCACCAAAAGCGTTGTAAAACGTTTAAAAAAGAATTAAAGCGTCGACAAAGTGTAAAAAAGAGTTTTAAAAAGTTATAAGCACAGAAAAATATTGAGAAAACATTAAAAAACGTTTAACTATCGGGAAATCAAACTTAGAAGCAAAAACAACGCCAGAAAGCGATGTAATAGTCATAAATAGCGGTTACAGCTTATAAAAAGCGATGTAAAACGATGAAAACAGACAAAATAATATGCAATGAAAGCGTTGAAAAGTCTTAAAAAGCGTTTAAACTTACGGAAAGTATCATTAATAATACGATGATATATTAAAAGCTTCGAAAAAAAAGTTCGAAGTTAAAAGCGTTTATAAGTCTCAAACAAGCATTATGCAAACTTAAAATCATGGAACAAAGATGAAAAGGCTTAAAATACATGAACTGCATAGTATGAACTGCTGCGTATGATAAAAATTCGATATAAAACATTGATGAAGTGTTAAAGTGTCAATAGTTTCGAAAATGCGTCGGAATAGCCTATTAAAAGTCTAAAATAGCTTCAAAAATACGTTGAACAAAGAAAAAAGTATTAGACAAGCTTTAAAAAGTTTAAACAGTATTGAAAAAATCGTTACATGAGTTGAAAAAACGTACAATTGCTAAAACATACGAATAATCCTTAAGAAGCATTATAAGTGTCAAAAAAGTTTTATTCAAGATCTAAATGGCGGTAAAGACGTCAAAATATGATGAGTTACGTTGTAAATATTTAAAAACATTAAAAAACTATTGAAAAGCATTAAGAGCTTTTAAAAACACGTTAAAAGTCTCGTAAAGGTATTAACAGGAGAGAAAAAGCATTGTAAAAGGTTGAAAGCATCGAAAAAGTGTTAATAAGCATTGAATACATTGAAAAATGGATAGTAATTGAAGTTATAAAGGATTAATATAGTTGTAAAAGTGTTAATAACTTCGAAAAGGCAGGTTTCCTTAAGATACTATGAACAGAGTTAATTTGGTATTGAACAAAGAATATATTGTTCTGAAGTTATTTTCTTGTGACATTTTTAAAGTAATTAGTATTTAAATGGGAATAAGCCACAATTAAAAGTTAAAATTAGTTTATTGACGTTTTAATTTCCACTTCGGAAATCGTTTTCAAAATACAAAGATTAGTATTATTGTAGTAGTTAGACAAGAAGTTGCAAAATTGAAATGGAGATTTGCCGGACACAATATAAGACAAAAAGAAGACCGATGGAACAAAATTCTTATAAGTTGGAGACCGTGGGAATATAAACGAAGCAGAGGAAGGCCCCAAATGAGATGGGCAGATGATATCAAGAAGCACGTGGGCTCTAGATGGATGACTGTAGCGACAGACAGAGAAGAATGGAAAAGGATTGGGGAGGCCTATGCCCAAAGATGGAGCGAAGAAGGCTAATTAGATAGATAGAGATAGTATTATTAGTCAATAAACGTACTTTATTTAACCTTTAATTGTGACTTATTCCCATTTAAATAGTAATTACTTTAACAAAGAAGATGTTATGTAAACAGGACTTGCTGAAAATAGACCACTATTAACACATGCTGTATGCCTTAACATTTTCTCGTCTTTGGCACTTCTAATAATAGGTAAATATATAATGCTGATCACACTATTTAAGTTCCACTACCACAAAAAAATTTGTTCATCAGAATATTCTTAAATAATTTCTTTAACTACTTAGGTTAATAGACATGTAGGTTATATTATTCTGTTTTCTCTATCGTATTTGAAACACCAGAATATCTTGAATAAATCTGGTACTAAAGTCTTACTCAGCTTTCAATCTTTCTTTCAACTTTAATTTTTTTTTTAATTTCTTTTTTTTTTACCTATTCTACTGTCGGATTTTATATTTGTTCTTGGTCTGGTTCTTATGTTCCCTATTGTTAGGAAATAATGGAGGAAACTATGGAAGTAAAGTTAATTTTTTTATGAGCAAACTAAAGAAAACGAAAGGGTCATCAAGTAGTTATAACAATTCTTGTAGACATAGACTAATTTTGGAAATAGCATAAACCAAAAATATTAGAAGAGTATATCGAAGACCTTCAAGGATTTAAAAAACTTTAAGTTGTTAAATTGTGTAACAACTAATAACGAGATAAACATGAAAAAAAAGAATTAATTGAGAAGAAAAATTACCAGGAAATTTAAATTCCCTTCATTAAAGTATTAAAATTTAGAAAGTTATTGAAAATTTCGAATAAGTTATATGTAAGTTTACAAAAGTTACTAACTAACACCTACAATATATAAATAAAACGCAAATTAACAAAATAATAATTTATTATTATCTACAATTAACAATAAAAAATAAATTCATTGCTAATACAGTCTTGTAAAAATAAATCAAATATCACAATATGGATAAGTAAAGATTGATTATAAAAAATTTAATCAACTTCTTCTACCGTTGGGCCACTTTGTCTTCCTCCAAATCCTCCGTATTGTTGTCCACAACCACCTGGCATTTCACCACTGTACTGATTGTTATTTTGACTTCCTTGGTACAATTTGGTCATGATAGGACTGCATACTCTTGTCAATTCTTTCTGTTTGTCTTCGTATTCTTCTTTGTCAGCTAAAGTGTTGCTATCCAACCATTTTAGACAGCTCTCACATTCTCTCTCGATTGCTGACTTGTCTTCAGATGATAATTTGTCTCCGCAGTCCTGTACAGCTTGTTTTAGTTGGAAGACGTACCCCTCTAGTTGGTTTCTTGCTGCTATTTTCTCTTTCTGTCGTTCGTCTTCTTCCTTATATTTTTCAGCTTCGGATACCATTCGGTCAATATCTTGTTGCGATAATCGCCCTTTGTCGTTCTTTATGGTGATGTTGCGGATGTTACCAGAACTAGTATCTTTGGCGGAAACGTTGAGTATACCATTGGCATCCAGGTCGAAAGTAACTTCAATCTTTGGAACTCCACGAGGTGCGGGAGGAATGCCAGTTAGATCAAATGTTCCCAGACGATTGTTATCTTTTGTCATAGCTCTTTCACCTTCAAATACTTGAATAGTAACAGCTGGTTGGTTGTCAGCGTATGTTGTAAACGTCTGGGTTTGTTTACATGGAATTCTTGAATTTCTTGAAATTATATTGGTCATCACTCCTCCTGCAGTCTCAATGCCCAATGATAATGGAGCTACATCAACCAGTAAG